GGAAAGATTAAAAGCACCGAGTATGCAAAGCTTGGCTAAGCGACAGCTCGTGTGGATGTAGAGGAAAAGCAACGTGGTTACCCAAGTAGTATTTGAAGGATGGAAATATCAAGGATCCGGATCGACTAGAACAAGAGGATCAAAGTAGGAGTGATGGGATAGAACAAACATTATCAAGAATAAAACTGGCAGCAAGATGGGTTAGGCTGTAAGACACTCACAAAGAAAGCCAGGAAGCCCTGTTGCTTTACAACTACACAAACTGCAGGGACTAACCTTCCTGTTACTTAGGTGGGTGCATTGCCTTGCCTTGTCCATCTCTAGTTGTCCTTAATCTATTCAGAGGGAGAAGCCTAGTTCAACCACTGTTTCCCCTGGAAACTCAAGATATCATTTGCTGTGAAACAGAAAATAATGGTTTTAGGTCCCTGGTCCATACAGAAGACTAGGTGAATCTCTTCACAGGATAAACAATCAAGCTTTGAAAGCTACAGACAAAAAATAAATACAGCTGAGATTTTTTTTTTTTTAAAACCACACACTCAATACAAAACTTGTCAGAATTCAAAATTCCTGCTCCGCTTTGCTGCAGTGACTTGCACTGGTTCATTGTGCCTTGCAGAAGTGCCTTCTCTGGATTTTAAATCTGTCTCTGTTAGAGGAACAGCCTATGTTCTCTCAATACAAAACCAAGGAGAACACCCAATTCACCCTCTGCACCATTCATTTTAGAGAACTATTAGAGTCCCCTCTTACTTCTCTCCTCTCAATTCCAGTTTTAGCCTGTTTAATCTTTCCCCATAATAAAGGTTTTCCATGCCTCTAATTTCAGCCATCTCCCACTCACGGGCCCCTTTTATTTCTGTGCCTTTTCAGAACTAAGGCACAGGAGAGTACAGTATTGCATGTAACAATACACGAATAAATGCAGTCTCTCTCTCTCCCCCATTCTGTATCCTAACTTTTTTTTCAAAAAGACACAGCTGCCAATTTTTTGGAATAAAGCTGTCCCAGGCTTTTACGCCACAATCACACTGGAGATTGAGAGACATGCAGAGTGAACAACTAGTTTGAATTCGTCCTTTTAGGATGCACTTCCTTGCTTTTGACATCCATGTCATCCAGCATCGTGCTACCCATTTGCACGGCTTTGCGTTCCTTCGAGTTCGCAGTGTTCTCCAGCCTGCACCACCCTAAACAACAGCATCTTTGTCAATTGTTGCCATCGCTCAGTCCCTCTGTTTTCCAGGCTTACAGATGCCTCTCTCAGTGCAGAGCCATGGGGTGCGTCACTGCTAACTTGTTACCAATTTGAAAACTGACTGGGTATTCCTGGTCATTTCCCCATCTCAATTCCTAATCCATACTGGTATTTTACCTCTCCCGTGCCACCCCCTCATTGTAAGCATCCGTGAACAGCATCCTGCAAGGAACCTTGCCAAAGACTTTTGAATATCCTAAATACGTGCCAGCTCCCCTGCATTCACTATTTGGAGGACACGTTCAAAGGAATTCTAGTAGATTGGACAGGGAGGGGTTTCCCCACAAATTGGTAACACACTTTCATACACTACCCCATAACCCAGCATATCACAGATTCCAGCTGCCTCCCTTTTGTGACTTACAAGGAAAGGGCATGTTGGCTTGTCACTGCTTTTACGTGGCTATTTCCTAAGAGCAATACAATACTTCTAAGCAAAATAAATGAGGTTTTCTTGGATTAGGAAACAAGACAACAGACTCTTCCCCTCAGAAATTCAAGATATAATCTGCTGTGAAACAGCAAATAATGGTTTTATGTCCCTGGCCCATACAGAAGACTAGGTGAATCTCCTCACAGGCTAAACAATCAAGCTCTGAAAGCTACGTACATGCTCAAAAATGCAATGTCATTTGTCATGTAGTTGTAGGTGTATGTAGTTATCAATACAAGCCAAAACTGATAGCAGCTAATTCTTCTCACAGGTAACCTCAGCTTCTAATTGTCCACAATGTGGGGTCAGACCAGGTGGCTTCATATAATATCACATCACATTTGGGCATATCGAAAACCAAATTCAACATGGTACTATGCAATAGAAGCAAGAAAAAAGGTAACCAAAAAAATTCATATCCATCAAAAACTGAGCTACTTACTACTGAAACAAGAGGAAGACCAAAGTCTGGGTAGGCCCTTTGCTCAGTGAAGAGGGAAAACAATGAAGAGGGAAAACAATAACAGGAAACCTGGAAGTGGCAGAGGTGCTTAATGACTTCTTTGTTTCAGTTTTCACGAAGATGGATGGTGACCGGATGCCTAACAGAGTGAATGCTAGTGGAAAAAGGGTAGGTTTTAGAAGTTAAAATAGGAAAAGAAAACGCTAATAAATTACTTAGAAAAGTGAGATGTCAAGTCACCAGGGCCTGATGAAATGCATCCTAGAATACCCAAGGAGCTGATAGAGGAGGTATCTGAGCCTCTAGCTCTCTTCTTTGAAGAGTCATGGAAGTCAGGAGAGATTCCAGAAGACTGGAAAAGGGCAAATCTAGTGCCCATCTATAAAAAGGGACATAAGAACCCAGGAAACTACAGACCAGTCAATTTAACTTCTGTGCCAGGGAAGATAATGGAGCAGGTAATGAAGGAATTCATCTGCAAACATCTGGAAGAAAATAAGGGGATAGGTAACAGCCAGCATGAATCTGTAAAGAACAAATCATGTCAGACCAATATGATTGCCTGCTTTGATAGGCTAACAAGTCTTGTGGATAAGGGAGAAGTGTTGGATGTGGTAAATCTAGACTTTAGTAAGGCATTTGCCACTATTGATAAAAAGATCACGTGAGAAACTAAAGAAATACAACCTAGATGGGGCTACTATAAAGTGGGTGCATAACTGGCTGAATAACTATTCTCAGAGTAGTTATTAATGGTTCACAGGCATGCTGGAAGCACACAAGAAGTGGGGTTCCGCAGGGGTCTGTTTTGGGACCGGTTCTGTTCAATATCTTCAGCAATTATTTAGATGATGCCACAGAGAGTATGATTATTCATTTGAAGATGGGAGGGATTGCAATTCAGAATGATCTGGAAAAACTGGAGAAATGGTGTGAGGCAAACGGGATGAAGTTTAACAAGAACAAATGCAAAAGTGCTCCACTTAGGAGGGAACAATCCGTTTCATACATACGGACTGGGAGGTGACTGTCTAGGAAGGAGTCCTGCAGAAAGGGATCTAGGGGTTATAATGGACCACAAGCTAAATATGAGTCAACAGCGTGACACGGTTGCAAAAAAAGCAAACATGATTCTGGGATGCATTCACAGGAGTACTGTGAGCAAGACACGAGAAGTCGTTCTTCCCCTCTGCGCTGATTAGGCCTCAGTTGGAGTATTGTGTCCAGTTCTGGGCACCGCATTTCAGGAAAGCTGTGGAGAAACTGGAGAAGGTCCAGAGAAGGGCAGCAAAAATGATGAAAGGTCTAGAGAACACGAGCTATGAGGAGTGAGAAAAATTTGTTCTCCTTGGCCTCTGACGACAGGACAAGCAGCAATGGGTTTAAATTGTAGCAAGGGGGGGGTTAGGTTGGACATTAGGAAAAACTTCCTGACAGGATGGTTAAAACTGGAATAAGTTGCCTAGGGAAGTTGTGGAATCTCCCTCATTGGAGATACTTAAGAGCAGGTTGACAGACATCTATCAGGGATGACCTCTTCTAGACGGTGCTTGGTCCTGCCATGAGAGCAGGGGCCTGGACTTGATGACTTCCAGGCCCCTTCCAGTTCCATTGTTCTTTGATTCTATAATACTTACTGTTATATTTAGCATGATGAGCAAATTATATATCCAGTGTCCACAAACAATGAATGGTTTATGTTGGGTTTGCAACACCTTTATTAGCAAACATCTGCTCCACCTGTCGCTTATTTCGATTGGTTTACAAAGCAGTGCTTCAAAAGGTCCAACATTTCTAACAAGCAAGCTTTCAAAACCCCTACGGGTCATCTTTCTGTGCCAGTCACATTTTTTCAGATTAGCAGATGTCCTTCACTTGAAAGGACATGTAGGAGTCCCCAAATCCTAATTATTACACACCAGCAAGTCTGTGCAGATGGAGGTGTCGCTTCAAGAAGGACTGACTTACATCTCAAGTATGCCTGTGAAGTGTCATGTTTTATTCAAGATGCCTGGGAGGCTCTACGTGCAATCTACAATTGCCACTGCTCTGAGGTATAAAGGAACCCGGGAACAGGCCAACTTATCAAAGCCCCACTGTCCACCCTCTTTACCTAAATACTTGCATGAAGGATCTGAAGCTGTTCAACTTCTTTGCTTATGCTGCCTAAAATGCAATGGCAGGGTTCCGAAATGAAAGCATCAGCCAATCGCCTTCACTACAGCTGGCAGCCCAGCTCCTGAATAAGTTCTCACTCAGCCATTCAGCAAGTGAAGAGGTGCCGGGTACATGACAAGTCACCTCAATACCAGCGGTTTAACATCAGGCTGAGAAGCCAAGCTACCGAGAACAGAGGCAGAGTCGGAAGGACCGCCAAGCCCACAGCTAGCAGACAGAAGGAGCCGGAGTTGTCAGCTTTGGTTTGTTCCATCCCCCATGAAGACAGAGAAATGACCAGACCACACAGGAAGTGAGAGGCAAACGAGAGACACGTTTTCAAACCAGGGGACCCCATCTGACCTCATGGTCGCTACAATTCGCATGAAATGAGAACAGCGCCTGCCCCGCCACACAACAGCTCGTGCTACGAGCCCTAGCGCTGTAGGAGGCTCCGCTGGCCTCGCCCCCACCTTACAGCTCGAAGAGCAGGCGAGTTTTGCCCAGCTCAGGCCGGCAGACAAGGTCCCAGCAGACGCCTGGCGCGCCGACCCAGGCACCGCCGGAAAATGCCCATGGCGAGGAGACACACAAAGGAGACACGTGCCTGCAGGACAGAGCCGAGCGGCCCTCAGCTGGCACCACCCCTGCCAGGTACCCGGCCCGAGCGACACGCGGACTCTTACCTGTTCTGCTCCATAGACTGTAGCGAACTGCACGAACTCCTCTATCCGCACGAAGCCATCCCCGTCTCGGTCCAGGGCATCGAACACGGCTCGGAGACGGGGCTCGTCTTCTTCGCAGCCGGGGGAGTCGCTCGCTCTGGGCGCAGGCTGGCCGGAGTCGGGGGGCTGGCTCAGGTCGCCGGGGCAATGGAAGGAGGGGAGAAGGTCCATCTCCTGGCCGGCCGGCGAGGAGCCCCCGGGACT